AAGAAGGGCCGTAAAATGGGGCAAAACTCACTTAACAAATGTCTCACTTAGCAATGTAGATTTTGGGCTCAATTGTGGTCGTAAGTTGAGGACTACCTTTATGATACAGCAAAAATAATATGAGCCCTGCTGGTCAGTGCACTATATTATAGCCAGGCAGTTATATAATTCTGGGAAGCTCAGAAGCACAGCTTTAAGGTGTTAGCAGACTCTGTTGTGAGCTGACCTCAAGAATGCATGTAAAAGTATTCAATTTCAATGTTGTTGATCACATTCACTGGATTTTTTTTTACCTAGTTATCCTTCTCCACAAGAACAGCTTCAAAGAAATCTATTGTTCTCTGTAAACCGGAACTGGATTTCTAGGTTGTTGATGGGGTAGCTCTTGAAATGCTGCTTGGTTGGTCCTTCCGCCAATCACAATACAGTAGCATCCCAAAGGTGTTTTTTCAAAAGGCAACTAGACCTTCTGGTTTTCTTTAAAGACGTTTTGCTTCTCATCCAAGAAGAAGTGCTGAAGAAGCTTCTTGGATGAGAAGCGAAACGACTTCAAAGAAAAACCAGAAAGTCCAGTTGCCTCTTGAAAAAAAACCTTTGAGGCAACCATGACCTGGAGGACTGAGGATCTCCATAAATACAGTAACATCTCACTTCTTTGGAAACTTTTCTCAATAGCTTATTTGATTTGTTGTTCATTTTAATTTCCCATTTCTAAAGCAACTTAACTTCTTGATCACTCTGGGTAGCCCACAAATTTAACAGGATGAAATAGAACAAGAAGTGACAGGATTCCAGGAAGTCCTCGACCTGTGATTGGTTACTTAGCAACTGTTCGAAGTTACGATTGACCCAAAAAGGGGGACTTACAACCTGGATTCGAAGTTTAGTCAGGCCCCCTCTGCAGCCATGTGGCAGAACTCTGTCACAGAGCCGTTTGTAAGCCTCCCGGAGTCCTCCGGGATTGGGCGGCCTATAAATAAAATTAAACTTGAAACTTGAAACTTGCCGCATCTGGCAGTCATGTGGCTGCATTTTATGACGGCTTTGCCTAAAATGGGCACTTCCAATTTTTGTCAAAATGATGCTCATAGCAAACTATTAACTGGATTCGCTTGACTGGAGGGCGGGGCGGGGCGGGTAATCACAGTGATTCGCTTGAGAACCACTGCAAAAATGGAAAATTTAAGTGAGTCACATGACCGTTATGCAGTCATAATGGGGAGGGTCCATTGCAGTCATAGGTTGAGGACATAACAATCTTCCTAAAGTTCTGAGCTCTTTGTTTGATCATTGTCCTCGTCAATATAGGATTTAATATATGGGGGAAAGAGTTTGTTCTCAGTGGGAAAATCTTGATCTTGTTCCTCATTGCAGATATATTTTTAAATAAAGCCTACAATTGAGGTTTAAAGGCTTCCTGGAAGAAGCAGGTGTTGGGGGATGATTCAAAGGAATGAGAAGTGGTACTTAATAGGTTTTGCAGGACTTAATATCCATATTAATAATGAGAAAGCAAACCAACCCTCAAAGTAACTTAGGAGCCTTTATCAAAATGCACCAAAATTTTTGTGATGCCTTTTCCCCTGGGAAGGCTTAGATCAGGGGTGACAAACTCGATTTCATTGAGGGCCATATCAGGTTTGTGTTTGACCTCAGGGGGGCCAGGGCGGGATGTGGCCAGGGGTATATGGCCAGCTCGATATCCGTTTTTGGCCACAATGGCCTTTTGCAGCCCTCTGCCAGCAAAAACGGAGCTGGGAGGGCTGCACATACTTCCCCCCGAGCTCTGTTTTAGTTAGCAGAGGCACTGTGGGACGGTCCTTCACTGTTTCCAGGGCAACCCCGCGGGCCAGATCTAAGCACTCTGTGGCCCGGATCCGGCCCGTGGGCCTTGAGTTCGTCACACCTATCTTAGATAGATCTCACACTGATCTGTGATCAGATCTCACAGATTAGGTCTCCTCCAGATTCCATCCGCCAGCCAATGTCGGCTGGCGACCCCCCGGGGGAGAGCCTTCTCTGTTGCAGCTCCAGCCTTCTGGAATGATCTCCACGTTGAGATCCGGACCCTTACGACCCTCCCGGCTTTCCTCAAAGCCACCAAGTCCTGGCTGCTCCTGTGAAACATCCAGCCCCGCGGAAATAGTGATTGTTGCGGTTTTGTTTTTAAAGTGTTGACTTTGTCTAGTCTTCCCCCTTCCATTGTCTATTGTGAGCCGCCCGGAGCCCTTCGGGAGTGGGCGGCATACAAGACAAATAAATACTGAATACTAGATTGATACTTCCACCTCATTTTTTCCTTGATTAGAGACACTTACTTAGGATCCTCATGTTCCTAAAACCAACTTTTTGTTCTGGTGTCTAAAGCACACACCTTCTAACTCAACGTGACTGGTTGTTCCCTTCCAGGTAATTGGACGGATGTGCAAGATAATTGACAAGACCTGTCTCTCTCCAACGGCTACATTAGAACAGCACCTCATGTGGGATGACATTGCCATTCTAGCCCGTTATATGCTGATGCTGTCTTTTAACAATTCGCTCGATGTGGCCGCACATCTCCCCTACCTTTTCCACGTTGTTACTCTGTTGGTGGCCACTGGTCCTCTTTCTCTCAGAGCTTCCACCCACGGCCTGGTCATCAACATCATTCATTCTCTGTGCACTTGTTCACAACTTCACTTCAGTGGTAAGTCTTTATTTAAGATTTATTTTTAAACCTACTGTAAGATCCATCTCCTTTTGTCTGATGGGACTCAAGGTAGATTTCAGTGGTTAGCACACTTCCCCATATCTCTGTGGGAAGGTCCGTTCCCAGAATTATTCCCCAATACTGGACCTTTTAGATTTACTAACTTAAGTAATAAGTCAAGGTTGACTCATCCTTCCATCTTTCCGATAAAATGAGGACCCAGAATATGCTGACTCTGTAAACCACTTAGAAAGGGCTGTAAAAGCACTGTTAAGTGGTATATAAGTCTAAGTGCTGAGCAGCAAAAATGTTGGGCTCAATTGTGGTCGTAAGTCAAGGACCACCTGTATTTATTTCCAATTCAAATCAAGTGGAGCTAAAGCATAGTAATTTACTTTAGCTACAACATGGTGGTGCAGTGATTAGAGGACAGTATTGCAGGCTGATCACCAGCTGCCAGCACTTTGGCATCTCACCAGACTCAAGGTTGACTCAGCCTTCCATCCTTCCGAGGTAGGTAAAAGGAGGACCCAGGTTGTTGGGGGCAAGAGGCTGACTCTGTGAACCGCTTAAGAGAGGGCTGTAAAGCACTGTGAAGTTGTATATAAGTCTAAGTGCTATTACTATTGTTACTGCTTTGGGTGTGAACCAGGATACAGATATTTAATCTGTATCCAGTCCTAAACTTAACTCTACCTTTCGGATGTGTGTAAGTTTGTCTGCATGTATAATATTAAAATAACGAGAGAACTAAGGTGACCTTGTGCTTAGCAGTTTATTTTCTTTAAAATGGGGGTGATGCTAATATTACAAGGAGCGCTAGGATAATCTTTATGGTGTAACAAAGCTGCTGGGGTGCATGGCTGTGTTCATTGGATAGGATGAACCCATACAGACCCTCCATTGCTCCAAACCCACAAATATCTCAGCTTTGAATCTATACTAAGCTACAATCACCTAGTGACGAATTGTGGAATGAGAGTTTTTCAGTAGGAAAATATTAATTTAGGCCAGGGATCTCCAACATTGGCAACCTTAAGCCTGGAGGACTTCCTCCTAGGATTCCCCAGCCAGGGGAATTTCAAGGGAGTTATATATAATAGAATAAAAAAGGTAAACATGCTCCCTTAAAAATTCAGATAATAATTAATAGTACTGATAGGAGAGAAAGTTTCTAGCTCGGATTTGAAATGAGGGGTCCTTGGCGCCCTCTGAGCTTGGTTGTTTTCTTGCAAACATTTCATTACCCAACTAGGTAACATCTTCAGTGCTGATGTTGTAACCTAGTTTGGGTAATGAAATGTCTGCAAGAAAACAACCAAGCTCAGAGAGCACCAGGGGCCCTTCAGCATGAATAGTGAAAACAGCACTAGGGACATAATGATACTGAAGCTAAAACTTAGACAATAAGTTAGTTCTAGCCTCACTTTAGCCCTGCTTAAAATAAAGTGAAGACATCAAAAGGACTATGAATTAAAACTGGGAGTCCTTATTAGCCGCTGAGCCAGGAGGTATAACTTCTTACACGTGAGAGGGGGATGTTACATGTCATAGATGTCTTTTTAAATTCATCAGTCATGATTTAAGATCCAGTGCCTCTAGTGATCTTGCCACAAATCATTTTCAACCAAGCTTTTATCATTTCAGTGGATGAAGAGAGTTTTAATGGGATCTTTAAAATCCCCGAACAAGCTCTAAAGAGTACAGGATCGATCCAGGCTCCACTCTACAAATTAGCACTGTCAAGTACAATTTAGAGCCTAGCATGGCTGTAAATTAGGAACACATGTAACGTTCTCAACATTTAAACGTAGAGTGGTAGACAAGGGCTTGTGTCTGTGGTTAAGTCAGTGGTGCAGTTGCTGCAGAGATCAGTAGCAGAAAAAATGTGAAGCAATTAATCAATTTTTAATCTCATTTTGTGGAAGGGCCAAGTAAGCATTATTTAACATAGGGGAAAATATTACCATCACACATTGAGATGCACAAGGACAGCATATGTCCTTTATGCAGCTTTTTGTTAACCTGAGATTTCACTGCTGAAATCAAGTGACGGAATTACCAGGGAACTGGCAATAGCAACAGGACCTAGACTTATATACCACTTCCCATGCTTTTACAGCCCTCTCTAAGCGGCTTACAGAATCAACCTATGGCCCCCAACAATCTGGGTCCTCATTTCCAGACCTCAGAAGGATGGAAGGCTGAGTCAATCCTGAGCCTGGTGACATTCAAACTGCCAAATTGCAGGCAGCCGGCAATCAACTAGGCCTATCAAAGAGAAGGATTAGGGGGAGACATGATACCTTCAAGGACTGTCACAGAGGAAAGGGTGTTGATTTCTCCTTCAAAGCACCTGAGGGCAGGACAAGAAGCAACTTGGGTGGAAGCTCCTCAAAGGGAGAATCCAACCTGGAAATAAGGAGGAATTTCCTGACAACGAGAATGATTAATCAGTGGAACAGCTTGTTCTTCAGAGTTTTGGGTACTCCATCACTGGAGTATTTCAAGAAAAGATAGGGTAGTAATTTGTCTGGGATGGTAAAAGGACTCCTGCATTGGTGTTTACTTCCAAAAAAAACCTCCACCCCTCATTGGGTACAATGTGTTCACGTAACAACCATTGCATTCGCTTAATGACCTGCAAATAAGGTCATAGAATTGAGTGACCAGCCATGTGGTGACCTGCTTAATGACTGACATAATTTATAGGAACATTTATTTTGTTTATTAAATAGATTTATATGGTCCCACAACTTACACCGCAACTCCGGGAGGCACGCCCTTTTCATGCTAATGAATGGGATGAGATCATCCAGAACCGACTGCGAACCAAACTGAACCACATACTGAACCAAAGATTTATAGACGGAGTATTAGGTGAACCCAGCAAACAGAGAAAGTTAGATTAGAAATAAATATCCAGTAAACTATGATTAATCATTGATGTGTCATGTGAACACAGCTATTGAATGTAAAACATCAGGAAGACAATAGGGTGTAGGCAGGTGGCACTCAATCTTCAGTGTAACAGGATCTATGGGCCCAGTACTCTTCAAAATCTTCATCAATGATTTGGATGAGGGAATAAATGGGGAACTCATCAAATTTGCAGATGA